TTACTTTCCTCTCAACATTTCTTAATGCATTCTTCTTCTTTGCTTCCTTCCTTCAGATATTTGAGCACCCACTGGGTAAATAGCTCTACACTTGTCATGGAGGACAACAGCAGAGAACAACACAGTCAAATACACTGCTTTCACAGAACATGTTCTAGTGAGTAACAAATACACAAATAATAAACTATTAGAACCTGTATTGTTACTTTTCCAACATTAAAGTAATTGAGATCCACTGAAAAGTGGAAGTTTAAGTACATTAAAATTCAGAACATTAAAAAAAAAACTATTAGAGACTTGAGCTATCAAGGCAGTAAGTATGGACTATATTTAAGAATAACAGGTAATCTGGGTTGCTAAAGGAAGATGTGATTTATCAGCTTAGACTGAAGAATGAGAAGGGGTGAGCCATATAGAGACAGAAGAGATTTCAAGCAGTGGGAACATCAGGTGCAAAGGCCCCAATGCAGAGATATGTTCAGCTGGAACTGAAAAGGGAGGACATGTGACTGGCGTATAGGCCACAAGATGGAAAGTGGCAGGAGTAAAGTAGATAAGGCAGCATGGTCTAGATGGTGCAAGACCTTGGAGACCATGGCAAGAATTTATATCTTATTAAAGTACAATGGGAAGCCTTTGCAGGGCTGTCCTCTCTTTACCAAACAGTTTATTTATTTATTTTTAATAATGTCATCTTGCCTTTGACTCATTGTTGCTGCACTAATTCCAAGGCTCCCTTATATCTTTTCTGTTATACTGCCCCAGCCAACTAGCAACTACTCTCTGGGTCTCTTAAAGTTCCCAGCAGAGATCATCTGATTGGCTCAGTTTACCTTGTTAAGTCAAGTCACAAATCCTAGGCCACTGGCTATCCTATGAATGGATTGCTCACCTTATATCAGGTGTATGCTGAGATCCAATCAGCTGTACCTGGGAGCAGGGTCATGTCCAGTTCATGACCTTGACTAGTTTATGAGAGACTGTGGACCAAACAGGCAATACAACAAGCTCTTATCTTTCTAAAGATAAGATTTAGTAATCCAGTATTTCACTGGGAGCTTAACTTATTAAACATATGAAAATACATATTAGATTGTGTCTAATGTACTTAGGGTCAAAATTCATAATCCTTATGTCTCTGATGCTTCATCCTCTGGATCCAGCTTTCCTTTTGGCTTCATCTCATGCAACTCTTCCTCTCGTTCTGTGTTTCAGTTTTCCTGGATTTTTGGATGGGGGTGGTTGTCTCAGGGCCTTTGCACATGCTATTTTCTCCCCTCCACACTTTCTCTTTTTACTTGAATAATCCTAACTTTTCCTTTACTTCTGATTATAAATGTGGCTTCCTCTTCCTTGACTGTCCATCAGAATTAGAGCCCATTTATATTCCTTTGTACTGTTCGTACTGTATTTTCCTCTCATGACAGATAACAATTTTAAATGATGCTGATTTGTGTGTTCACTTGTTTAGTACTTGTCTCTACCTCTAGACTGAGAGTTCCATGAGGGCCGTGATTGGATCTGTGAAGAGTATGACTGTTTCCGGCATGTAGTAGATACTTGGTAATAAGTGCTAGATGGATAGATGGATGGATGGATGGATGGATGGATGAGGGAATGAATGCCAAGAGTGAGAGTTTATGTGGCCTGAGGAGTCACTAAAGACTTCATGGAAGGGAGTAGGCATGGTTTTGGCCTTGAAGAATGGACAGAATTTGGAAAGGACATGTGGAAATATTTCAAATAAGAGTAATATTCATCAGCAAAGCCAGAGAATTGGGAACAAGTACAGTACAGCCAGGGTTCAGTGTGGTCACTAGCCTGATGAGACCAGAGGTGTATGTTGACAAGATTTGGAAAATAAGATACTCTGAATGGGAAAGGGCCCAAATAGGAAAACTAGAAATCTGAAAACTGTATTAAGTAATAAGAGCTACCATGTATATGTGATTATTATGTTCTAAGTATTTTTTTGAGAGCCTTATGAATATAGGCTCATTTAATCCTCACAACAAACTTGGGCACTAAGTTCTATTTTTGTGTGCAATTTACAAATGGGTAAACAGGGGACAAGGAGATAATTTTGCCAGAGTTCTCATGGCTGATAAATGCAGAACTGGGATTCAAATCTAGGCAGATACAGGTGCAGCGTTTGTGTGCTTGGAGTTATTCCAAGCTGCTGCTCCTCTCCCAAAAGGTAGAGACATAACTTGGCCAAAGATCAACTCTGGAGGTGGGGGGTGCAGAATAGAGAAGCATACCAGGGAAACCAAGGATTCTGGTCACAAGATTGGAGGTAGGATGCTGCTGGTCCAGAAATGAGTGAGCTCGGAAAGGGAGCTGCATATGGGGGAGAAGATTTGAGAAGTGGAATGGGGAAAGATTTGAGATATGAGAAGCGGAACCAGGAAAGTTTAGCGAATGGCTGTTGCATGTGCTGTGAAGTGAGGCTGACATGGGTTTGAGTGCCTGCTTTGCTGTCTCTTTGCAAGTTTCAGCATCTGTCCAGTGCATTTAACAATGGTACCTACCTCAAATGTTAGGATTAAGTGAGATGGAATAAGTGAAATTCACAATCCATTGCTTGGCTCATGGCCTGGGGGACTAATGAATATGACTATCATTCGCAGGAGTTTGGATGACAAGGATTGGCCAGGATCCTGGCTGTGAACTGGGAGTGGTAATGTTAATATTTATTTGATGCCTGTCAGCTGAGTCCAGCTGAGCAGACTTCAAGCAGACTTTCTGGAGTCCCATGTGCTAAAGCCTTGCAGGGAGCTGACCTAGATGGTGCGGGGGTGGGGGGGTCTTTCCTGGGGCCAGGGGCCTACATCTTTCCTCCCTCTCTCTGGCCTTTGCAGAAGGTCTGTGTACTTGGTTTCCAGGACAGGCATCCAGCTAGGTAAGCCCGTAGGACCTTTCTGTCCATTCCCATCAGCTCCCCAGATGCCCTGTTTTTGACAAGGTCCTGGTTCCTAGTACTACAGGTTGCTGCTGGCTGCTGCTTCCACTTTTTCAGAGTATGCATTACCTATTTGCTCCATCTCTCAGATCCTTCTCTCTCCAAGTTGTCTGGAACCACCTTTCCCAAGGTGTGGGATGAGGCAATTTGCCCTGGTCATGGCTGCAGTATTAGAGAGCATCAGCTCCCATAGTGAGAAATTACTCCCTTTCCAGTTCTCCATTGATCCTTCTTATTAAGCCAAGGGAAGCATCTTTTCCAGTGCTAGAATATCTTAAACATCTTCCTAAATCCTTTTTACAAAGAGCAGGTAGCAGCCTTCAGTTTAGGACAGGCAGCAGCTAGAATATAGGATTGTTTTGTTTTCATTGCATTTATTTTCCCAGTTACCATTTGCTTATGGCAAGTAGTTCCAGTTTTCCTATTAAAGTAGTGATATAAAGTTCAGTATCAAAATATATTTATTTTGTAAGTAAATATATAAAGTAAAAAGTGAGTCACTTTAAAGAAAAACATTAGATAAAAAATTGTCGACGTTGGTGTATGAATATGAAAAACTTCATCACCATTTTTCTCAAATGGCTGAGGTTTGGAAAATACTGGTGAGGAAGGAAGTCACTCAAATTCGGAAGCAGGAGTTGGGTCTAAATGCAAGCTCTGCTCATTAGTACCTAAGACAGTTTCTTTGAGCCTCTATTCCTCACCTGTCAAAATGGAGATAATAATTCCAATTACACGTGGGGTTGTTTTAAGGAATCAATGAAATAATTTGACGTATGTGAATTTAATTTGCACTCAATGACTCTTAAGTGTTAAACAAACTGAATTGTTCCTAGTCTGCAATCAAATTCACCGTTTGTGGGGGGGACATTGACTTGGTTTCCAGGACTTCCATCCCATAATGGTCATGTAACCTCTCTTGCCTCGGTTTCCTCTGGGCAAAATGGGGAAATGACTGGGAGGATTAAATGATGTCATGTGTGTACAATGCTGCAACACAGCCTGGCACATAGCAGCGTTAGGTAAGCGTAGCTCCTACGACGTAATGCAGCCCCTGAGGGTGACCAGAGCCCTCAGTGGGAAAGTACTGGGTGTGAGCCCAAGGCACTCAGGAAGTCAGGGGTAGCAGAGGTGACATCAGTTTCATGCTTTCTGATATCAAATACTCAAATGTGCTTCCACTCTTTCTCCCCAGCACCTTAAACCCTGTGCAAAGCTCCCCTCCCCCCATATAGAAGAGCTCCCATTCAGGTTCCATCTTCCTGCAGTATGCTTGCTGTGGGCTGATTATGGTCCCCTCCAAATTCATATGCTCAAACCCTAACCTTTGATGTGATGGTACTTGGAGATGGGGTCTTTGGGAGGTAATTAGGATTAAATGAGGTCATGAGAATGGGGCCCTTGTGATGGGATTAGTAACTTTGTAAGAAGAGGACACAGCAAGAAGGTGGCCGACTACAAGCCGGGATGAGAGCCTCACCGAGAACTGGATCGGCAAGCACCCTGATCTTGGACATCCCAGCCTCCAGGACTGCAAGGAATAAATGTTGTTTAAGTCACCCTGATCGATGGCATTTTGTTCTGGCAGCCTGAGCTGACTAAGATAATGCTCACTCTGCCCAGAACTGATCCAAAAATTTACAAATCACTGTCTATATATAGGTTATTTACCATATGTTAATCATGTTACACATGACATTTTATTTATGCCTCACAACTCTGCGGAGGAGCATACCTTACCATGTTCCATTTTATAGGTGCAGAGACTGTCTGGAAGGTAAGGTGGACTTGCCCGCAGTCCTGAAGCTGTTGGTGCCAGGGCCAAATGTTTGAATTACATGTTAGTGAGGCTCACACAATGCTGATATCGGTGTGAGCACCTTGCTGGCTGCAAGAGGTGAAGGGGGACCCTTCTCAGTGGGCAAAGTGTGGAGGAGCAAAGCTCAGCCTCCCATACAGCGATGAGCCGGTTGGACAGCAGGGTGGTGAGTTGGTGCAGGAAGTACCCAGAAGAGACAAAACACCCCCAGTTTGGTTGGTTACAACAAGGCAAAACCTTTAATAACATGAGTGCTTATTACATTAGCTGCTTCGGGACTCTGATATCTTTGATTTCTGGCCATGTTTCTCTAACACGTAAGGTGAATGCCTCCCTCAGGGCCACCTGGGCGGTCAGTGTCCTGAGGACTTGTGAGTGGGTGATGGGGACCACTGTGCACACGCCTGGGGATTCGGGGATTTCCCCCACGCGGCCACTACCCATGACTTTGAGTAAAGTCCTCTTCCAGGGAGGGAACAAGGTAGAGGTCCTTCCAGTAAAGAAGGAAGAAAGGAAAACACCTGGCAGAGATACACAGAAAGAGAAAGGACATCATGAGATTGGCTTGAAAAGGTGGGGAGGAATGGAGGTCTTGGGACCTGTAGGTCAAGGGGCAAAGAATGGGAGAGGGCTGAGTCCATTTGGTTTCGTTCTTTGTAGAAGATAATACCATCATGAGGACCATGCCATGCAACCTCAGAGACACCTCTGTCCACCTCCCTCAAGGCTGTGCTGGGGCAGAGGGCAGAGGGCAAAGGTCAGTTCAGACGGGCGTGGTGCGCCTGTTGGCCGGATTATTATGCAGCGATTCTTTGAACTCTTTGGGTGTGGAATTGTGGAACTGTAGAAAAGCGTGGTCCCGGTCAGAGTTGAGGAGGGTCCCCATGGTGATCTTTGAGGGGTCCCGGGAGAGGGTGAACATTGAGATGTCAGTGGAAGGGATGGTGTGGAAGCCTTTGCTGATAGGGGACAGGTCTCGGGATCTGGGCTCCGTGGAGCGAGAACTTGACCGCCTCCGGAATCTATACCTGTAGGGTGGAAGGCGAGCGAAGGTAGATTTCTTCAGGAACTCGGAGTGGGATTTGGCACGTAATTGCTGATGTTTTTCTATATAGATGTGCACGGCAACTACTCCCACAATTTCTGCGATGATGAAAGAGAAGGCTCCGAAATAAAAGGACCAGCCGTAGGAGTAGCTTTTTTTGGAGTCACGCTGCCCGGGATCTCCAGCATTGGCTGATATATAAACTATGATGCCGATGATGTTACTTAACCCTAAGAGACAAGGAAAGAAAAATGCATCATCTTTTAAAAACCTCAGAGGTGACTGTCATTTTTAGTCTCGAAGTATTTATAGACAATGTAGAGGGAACAGGGAGAGAGGAGCATGGATCTATGGCTGGGAAATCCAACTGCTGAGCTCCTCTCGCGTGGTCTGTCTCTCCGGCCATGAGTTCTGCTCCTCAATCCCACGTGGTGTGCGTTCAGATAAAGAATATACCCTACTCCCACGGCAAACGCAGTGGAACTCGGAAGGCATCTATTTTGCCTTAGGAGCCATTCATTCACAACTTAATCCTCACCATTAAGTGATGAGGATGGTAGAATGAACAAGATACAGGTCCCTTACCATTGGCAGGAGAGACTGACCTGTTGATGCAATTATAGCAAAATGCAGTAAGGACTCTACCAGAGACGCACATAGAATGGTCCAGGAGCGAGGGGAGAGAAAACGACTGATGTATCACCCTGTGAAGACAAGGGGACATTCGAGCTGGATCCTGAACATTGAATAAGGGTGAGTCAGGCAATGAAAGGCTATTGACTGGAGTAGAGAGAAGGCATCGGGAATGACCTTCTAGGGTTTTAGCTCGGATGAGGGGGAGGTTGGTGGCATGTTGAGCTAAAATAAGAGCCAGCAGTGAGAGAACAGGTTTAGAGAAAAGGAGAGATTTGGATATATTGACTTGGAAGTGCTTATTTAGAGCACAAATGTAGCTGCCCCACGGATGTATAATGGGTCTTGGAGGGGCGGGGGACCCGAGAGGAAGGGACAGTGGCTTACTAAGTCTTTCTATCTGCCCAGGATGAGAGAATGCTTTAGATTAGCTGTCATTTGAGCATCAGGAATGGGGAGCATGAAGCTGTTGTCCCCAGTAGGTAAAGCCTGCAGACTCAGTGCCCTCAAGTGCCAATGGAATAGCCCTGAAAATACCTGCCCAGTGAGAGAGGAATTGATTCTCTGGGGGAATGATAAGGACAATAGAGCCTGAGGGCCAGGGGCCTATGAGGACCTCTTACCCACGTGGTTGTTCTAAAGGCAGAATGCCTCTTTTGTTCCTCCGCTTCCAGGGCCTCATCCAGGCCTTGAAACCAACAGTGACTCAGGGAGGTTGGTACATCAGCTGGCATTTCCTGGCCACCAGAGTTACGGTGGTGCTAACTGGAGGCTGTCCCTCATTATAGTTCCCAGCATCAGTTGGTAAATAACTATTTCCAGTGGCCTCCCGAGTCCTCTCTCCATTCCTTTATTGCCCATACTCTTCCTCAAGATCTCCTCATAGTGCAGCAATGGAAGGACTGAAGCTTGGCATAACAGGGGCTACTGACTCTGCCCCAGTGCTGCCATTCTGACTGGCTCATGCACATGCATTTAAGGGGAATTAGTGTTTTGAATATGGTCTTTGACCATACTCCATTTAGGACTTGCCCCTCAAGGGCCAGGCCAGGGTGCACTTCTGCTCTGCCTCCTCTTGGCACTGCCCAGCACACAGGAGGGAGTCAGTGAGTTCTAATCACTGAGCTATTTCTTAATATGGGGCTTGACACGCCAGCCCTGTGTCAGGCTGCAGGAAGCCGGGATGAAAAATGCCTCCTGTTCTGGAGTGTCAATTTGGCTTGAAGATTAGTAGGGAAGACACATTCTTTATATTAAAATGAACATGAATATAATAAGGAGGAGAGAGCAGAATTCACATGAATTTTTAAGTGTAAGTGGGAACCAGACTTCAAAGACCTTTCAGCTCACTGAAGGCAGCTTCTCATGATGCCCCCTGACTCCCCAGTGTTCTTTCTCCTCTGTCAGCAAAGAAATTTTGGTGGCAAAGTTTGGGCAGCCCTGAAAGGAAGTCTTGATGGAGACAAAAAAAAAAAACAAGAAGAAGAATCTTCAAGAGAGGCTCAGATGTCAGACCAGGTTAAAGGAGGCAGGAAGCCAAGTGAGCTGCCATTTATTTAGAGGGCAATTACTATGTGCCAGGCACTGCACAGGGACCATCTCAATTAATCGTTGCAACAATCCTACTTTAAAAAAAGTCACCCCTCTTTTATAGATGAGGAAACTGAGATGCAGAGAAGATAAGCAACTTCCCAAGTAGACCCAGCTAGGAAACCACAGAGGTGGGATTGAACTCAGGACTGTTTCAGCCACGAGTGGATTTAGATTTCAGGAATGAAGCTTAGGAAGAACAAGATGTAAGTGGGCACTCATTCTCCCAGCCACCAGGCTATCAGCTCCTTGAGGGCAAACCTAGGCTACTTTGGTTCATTGCCATGGTCTCATGTCCCAGCCCATAGCCTGACCCACAGCAGGAGTGCAGTGCACACTTACTGAATGAGTGAGTGAATTGGGTTGGCATGAGAATTAAATGATACAACGTATAAAATAGCAGCAGTAATTCTGTGCTGGGTGCAGTTATATACACTTTTCATATATCAACTCATTAAATCCTCTTTACAGCCTCAAGAGATAGGGTCATGATTATCCCTGTCTTTCAGATGAAGAAACTGAAGCACAGACAGGTTAAGAGACTTGCCAAATGTTACACGACTGGGAAGTAGCTGAGCCAAGATTGGCACCAGGCAGCCTGGCTTCAGAGCCTGTGCTCTTCAGCATTATGTACAGTTCCTGGCACACAGTAGGTGCTCCATAAAGTGCTGTTGATATCTTGCCTGAAACCACAGACCCTTAGAAAAGCTGAGCCAAAAAGAGCCCTAGACAGTACTGAATCCTCCAAAACTTTCATTGGTGGAATAGCTGAGGCTGTTCAGGTTCCTTGGGGAGACTGGAGAGGGAGGCAGTCTAGGAATAGACCCCAAGTTGCTGGCTTCCCCTCAGGGCTTCTGCTACTGCCCCTCATGTTGCCCAGTCCCCATGTGTCTACTCTGCCTGCCGCCTCTCACAATACCCCTTTGTGAGAAGAAAGTTGCTGGTGCACCCTCTTCCCTAACAATTCCCTTGGGGAACAAAGTAATGATCTTCTGCTCAGGAAACCGTCATGTCAGCATAACAACCATCCTCTGGGTCAGTCAGAGCCCAGGAGCTGGACAGGCCACCAGCAACTCAAATGTGTCTCAAAGCAACCCAAGTCCCTGTGTTTATCAGTTGTTACCATCTGTGCACACAGAGCGTGGCCAGGCGCCCAGCATCCTTGGGCTGACATGGCCCTCTGACAGGATGCCGCTTTCTCCTTGATCTGTGGCTGGGGTCAGTTCCCAGAGGCTCAAGAGTTCGAAGTGGTCCAACCTCCTCATTGTACAGAAGGGGAACCAGTGGGGAAGGCCTGAGGGCAAGGTCTCAGAGGGGGTCAGGAAGTGGCTGAAGACTCCAGAACTATATTGCTGCTCCTTTCCAGTACTAGCAAATAATATTGTGATTTTTATGTCCAGCCCTCTTTCAACAATCCTGTGAAGTAGGTTCTGTGATTATTTCTCATTTTATAGTCGAGGAAACCAAGTCAGACGGAGTTGGGAACATTCCCAACAGGGGTAGGCTAGAATTCAAAGTCAGGAGGGGAAGCCCTTCGCATCCACCATTTTATACTATTACCCCTTGTTCCCAATCCCAATCAATATTTTGCCTATAGGGCAAAGTTGGAGGGTCCTGTGCAAAGAGTGAAGCCCCGCTCTGTCCCAGCTCCTTGCTCTGCCCTTTTCTGAAGCATGTCATGCAGATTACATTGATCAAGGAGAGGGAGGGGAGGAGATGGTAAAGAGGCGAGGAGAGGGGGAGACCCAGGGAAAGACAGGAAGATGAGGATGGAGGTGAGGGCAGGAGAGAGAAGGCAGGAAAGGGGACCCCTCCCTGAAGCCTGTCTCCCTTCCTCCTTGTCACCTTGATGATCTGGGGATGCTGGTTTTTACTTAATTCTAGGAGACACTTTGAACAACATGAAAATTTGAGCACCCGAAATGCTATGAACAGTAAACCAGCAAACACATATTTCAATGGGCCAGAGGCAGTTTATGAACATGCTCAAGTGAACAGGATGTTGGACCCCTTTAAAACACACTGAACCAGTCTTTTAGGTCGTGTTAAACACACTATACATGCCTCCTGCCTGCTGTGTGCAAGCACATACACACCCTCTCCTATTAAGCAGTCTCTCTCTCTTCCTCTGTGGACTGACTCTGCCATCCTGTCTCCTCCTTCTCTTTGCTTCATGCCACCCTGGAGGGTCAGCATCTTTGGTTCTATTTAAAGTTTTTGGATTCTTATTCTTAACACAACTTGAATATTTCCTTGCTCTTTATCTGGAGGGAAGCCTGAATAGCATTACTTTGTCTCATGGTCCTGGGTTTGGTGTCTGAAGATCTCAGGGCTGGGGACAATTGCTCACCTGCAGAGACAAAAAAGATGCCCGCGCTAAGGATGACATTGTGTCTGCTGCGGTGGAACTCGCTGGCTGCCACGCAGAGCCCTCCGAAGAAGAGCAGTGTGACACTGAGGATAGGGAAGACGCTGGAAGCTCTCACAGCCCCTGCAGAGAAAGGAGAGAGGGTGCCACCTGCTTCCCAGCCTGCCCCAGGATTCACCCACCATAGGCTCCGGGGTGCATGAGAAGAAAACAGCATGGGCAGCAGGACGGAGCCCATCTAACATGGGTGTGAGACCACTGTGGTCACTCAGGGCCTTGTGCTTGGTGGTAATGCTCTCAAGTCTCTGTCCTGAAATTCTGAATCATTTGGCCTGTGAAACTGTGTTTTATAAATGAAGTCTGATGGGCCAATAGAGCCTACACGGGGGACTTGGAGTCCTAACTCATGTGAGACCTTATCACTCATCACCTTTCCCCTCCCCTTCTCCTTGGGATGGGTCCTCAGCTGCCCACTTGCCTGCCCCAACCAGTGACCACTGCCACCTCTTGCTCCTGGCAGGGGCTGGCATGGACACAGGGAGAATCAGAGTTGTGTGCAAGCCCTGGGTTCCTGCAAGGGTATGTACTCACTCGTTGAGTGTCCCAGTGCCCAGGGGAGGGTAACATTAAATAACAAAGAGAAGAACCATGACAGAGCAAGAGGAAGATCACAGGGGAAGGAAAAACCTTTCTTGCCTGCTTTTTGAAGCAGAAGCCTGGGATTTTCATTTTGTACCGGATCCTGCAGATTATGTAGCGAGCTCTGGATCCAGGGACTCCCATCAGATAAGGCAGAACCTTTCCCGACACACACCTACAGTATGGAGTCTGGCAATACCCTCTCAATACTCATGTGGTCACTGAATGAACAAATGAATTGATTTATCCACTCAACAATATTAATTGTGCATCTGCCAAATGCCAGGTGCTATGCTGGGTGCTGGGTACTTGGGGACATGTTTAGCATCCACAAGGTCACAGGTGGCTGCCCTTCAAAGTAGATGCTGGTTGTGGAGCTAGAGCATTGTCCTGGAGGCCCCTGTGTTAACTCTTTAGTTGCTGGATCATGGAGAGGCCCTAAATTCTGGGGGAGGGGTCCACCCCAGTAGTTACCCAACCAGTATAAAGGTATTTCCTGGTCTGTCCAGGCCAGAGTATACTTGTTGATCACAATATGTGTTCTTTTGTATACAAAAGCAGCAGGGCCCCTGCCCTCATGTGGCTTATGGTCTGTAGAGTGACAGGCAGGACCAGCTGCAGAAATTGCAAGGACCCTGTGCAAAAGGAAAATGCAAGACCTCTTGTTCCAAAATTATGAAGCATTTCCAGATGGGGCCAGGAGAGCACTGAACCAAGTGTAGGGACTTGTAAGGCCAGGGTCCCTGGAGGGCTGAAAGGCTGCAAGGTCCAGACTTGAGCTGAGGTGGCTGGGTCTGCGGTGCTAGGCTGGAGGTGGTGGACACATGTTGGATTCAGGATAGATTTTGAAGGTAAAGCCACCAGAATTGGCAGTGGCAAGTGCGAGAAAGGAGTTGAGAGCGACTCCCATGTCTGGTGCTTACTGATGAGAGAAGGTGGCACTTGTGATGACACAGCATGTGTGTTGGAGTGGCGGTGGGGGCGGCATGGCAGGAAGCGCTGAGAGCTCGTTTTGGCCATGGGAAGGTTCAGTGTTCAAGGTTCTACAGCTTGTTTTCTTGGTGCGTTTTCCTGCTGATCTGGCTCCCACCGTTTCTATTTGCTTCTGCACAGCAGTGTTCATGCTCCAGCCGCAAAGCTGTGACTGGGTGTTTTTTTATTTCGTGGAAAATGTTTTTGAAAGTTTGGTAACTGATTTAGTCAATGGGGGCCTATGGGGGAGGGGCCGAGGGCACATGGGGGTGCAGTTCCCTTAATGAGAAGAAGAAAATTAAAGAGTTCCTTGCTTTGGCTTAGAGACAGCCACCTGGTCACCCGGCGCTCACCAGGGCCGGAGCAGAGCAGGGGCTCAGTAACAGCATCTCTCCCACCCCTCTGATTCCGTGGTGAAGTTGGAGGAGGGGATTCAAACTGCCTAGAAACCCTGATGGGAGAGGTGGGTCATGAGGAGGGGATCCTGTGTCCCTGACCCCTGGGGGCATGATTAGGTCAGTCCCTATCCTGGTTCCGGGGCTGTCAGTCACTGCCCTTGGGTCGTGGGCACAGGCCTGGCTTCTGGCCCACTCTGTGCTGGCCTGAGGATCTCTGCTGTCACACAGGTTTGTAGGAGGCAGGCTTGCTGGCCTCCCTGCTGACTTAAGCCTCTGGGTTGAAGATCCCCGGGGAGTTGGCTCTGGGGTCCTGGGACTTGAGCCCAGTGGTGGTGTAGCTCATTTATAACTTCTAAATATTTGCACATATGACCTATGGTCCATTTGGACCCTTGGCCTTGGGCCCCTAAGATATGAGGAGTGAGTCTGTCTCCAGTGGTTTCCAGCATCCTTTAGGAACCTGGGAACAAACCTTTAAGGCAATCATTTGTGTGTATATTTGCTTGAATATTCAATGTATGAGTTCAATTGATTAAAAGACAATAGTTATTTTTTTATTTCAAAGTATGATTAAAGTATGATTATGCCTGAAAGAAATTAACTGAACATTTGAAACTACTGATTTCTGTTGGTTATAAAAGTGCACATTTGAAATGTGACTGTTTCCCAGGTGGTACAGTAACTGCGTGGCAGCCAATTGGTGGCCAGGCCCATTTCTTTACCCCACAAATGAGGTATGAGCAGGTGTAAACTCTGGTTTGCCTCAGCTGGAACTTTCACAGCTTCCATTCTCCTATCTGAAGTCTACTCTGTGCTCATTTTAGCCCAGTGGACATGTGGTGGCTTCAGAACAAAAAGGTATTACTGTCTTGCTTTCCTCTTTCTCCTCCCCAAACCATCTGGGGCTAAGTTGAGATTTAGGGGTGGGGTGGGAGGCTGGTGCCAGAGTAATGCTCCCATGCGCATCTGAGCAGGACTTGGCCAAGTTCAGTGCAAAATGGTAAAGAGTCCAGGCCACAGGACTCATGAGCTGTTAAACCCTGTGCTACAGGGTTAAGCTGTAGCCTAGCCCAATAGCACAGGAGAAAGAGGAAAAGTAGGGGAATCAATGTGCAGAATTCTAATCCTGCTATGGTGTCGTCAAGACAGGAACTGGTTGGGCCTGGAGGACCCTGCAGGAACGTGCCCGGACCCCGTGTGGTTGGGCCTGGGATTCCAAAATCCCCTGCAGAAAATTCACATGCTCATTAAGGCCCCTCCTTAACCTTAGCCTGGTTCTGTGGCTAATGATGGAGCATAGGTGGACTGCAGGATGGGGGTGAGGAGGCCCACTATCCCAGAAGGAAGAAAAATATTTTGTTGGAAGAGGAATCAACCTCTCTGAAAAACTTAAAAGCAGTTTGCATGTTGTGAAATAGAAGCCACAGTCCTGTTTACTTTCCCACAAGACAAACTTCACAATGTTTCATCAAAGTGGGAAAGAAAAACTATAACACTTTAGTGAAACCCCACTGGTGATGACTTTAAGGGCATTTTCTTTTGACGAGGTCCAAGTAAATCTATGTCATCCCCAAACTTTGGTCAAGCTGTATCTCTTTCTGTGGCCTTTATTCCCAACACCAAATCTTTCTGAGCTGCTGTATAAATCCTGGCAGGCATTTGGATAAATCCTAGTAGGTGGATTAGGACTGAAAATAAAGAAATGATACGTTTACATCTTAAAAATTAGCTTTAAAATGACTGCTGCTTTCCAACTGACCACTACACCACTTACATTGTTACATGGTTAAAGGCTTGTATATTTTTAAAACACCTTTCTTGAGCTATTAGTTATGAACATAATCTGAATAGGACACTTTCTTGAAGTTTTTATATATAATAGCAGTTTAAAAAAATACCTTAATGTTTAACATACCCTAATAGTAAATTAATCAATGCCTTAGAATTTTTCTTTTGAGTGAACTTGACACATGTTCTTGTTGAGGTTACACTTAAATTATAGTAAATCCCAGGTTCTGTCTGTGGCTGGATCAATGCCAGGCCAGTGTCTGCGGGTGGACTTTGCTATTGCTCATCCATACAACAAAAAAGAGCTAGCACGTTTTGCCTCATGACTGCATGTTGGTCCCTGGTCTAAGGGTAATGGTATTAGCTTATTTTATTTTCATAAACCTGTAGATAGATGACATTATGATCCCCATTTCTTACTAGATAAAGAAAGCCATGAGATGGAGTGGTAAAGCAACTTGGCCTGGGTCTAGTCAGGCTAGCAAGGGGTCAGACTGGGGTATAAGGCCTTAGCAGCCAGGATCCAGAGTCCTTGCTCTAAGTCCCTGAGCCCCACTGCCTCTCACATGAGGTATTTAGGACAGTCTCAGGTCATATCCAGGGTATTGACCTTGGGGCAATTGTAGGGAAACACTGGCCCTGCCTGATAGGATAGAAACTCAAGAGAGGGGAATTTTGGTTTTCATGCATTCTCTCAGGACTTGCCGCCAGGACCTTGCCCATTAGCACCTCACCCATTAGCACTTCACCCATTAGCACTTTGACTATTAGCACCTCAACGCAGCTCCCTGGGGAAGGTGAAAGCTTGAATTCAAGTTGAGGAAAATTCCTTGGATTTTCTTTTAAGCAGACTAGAAAGAACCCTTCAGTTTTTGACTCACCTTTTTTTTTCTCTTCTATTTCTAGTTCATTGAAACTAAGGAGACTTAGATATCAGAAGCACTTGAATGACTCTGTCTAGTAGCAAAGTTTCCCTAAAATTATCTATTTCTAAGGGTGGGTATTGAGGAGCCCCAAACTCAGAGGCAGCTGGGGGACCACAGGGCATCCCTCCAGGCCTCCTGGGGGACCTGAAAAGCAGGGAACTTACGCAGAAGATACTCAGCTGTGTCCTGTTCATAGTCAGCGTCCTCTGGGAAGTGATCGATTTTCTTGCACACACCTCGGAAAGCCCCTGTGGAAACAAACACGGTCCTGAACTAGGGTTGGGGGTGGGGCAGCCAGAGCCCCTGGGGCCCAGCCTGGGTCCTCACCCCTGTGGTGAAGTCCTTCCCAGGATGTGCTTGTGTTGGTCCATCAGCATCTTTCCTAGGACACCAAAAGGAGACCAGTAGAGGAAATACTCGTAAAAGATGGAAAACTTCTGCTTCCTAGATTTTGCATGATGTTGGGATCTACTTAGAAGGTCAAAGAGCTATGAAGCATAAGCGTTCATTATGAGGCCTGTTTTATCTTATCTTCCCACTCCCCCCACACCCCACAAATTAGTGAGGGGGAAAAGGGAAAAGGAAATAGAACTTACGTACAGTTGAGCCTTGAACAACTAAGATATGAACTGACTAGGTCTACTTATATAAGGATTTTTTTCAACAAATATATTGAAAGTTTTTTCTTGAGATGTGTGACCATTTGAAAAAAAATTTTTCTTTTCTTTTAGCTTACTTTATTGTAAGAAAACTGTATATCATACATATATAAAATATGTGTTATTTGGCAGTTTATATTACCTGTAAGGCTTCCGGCCAACTTAATAGTAAAGATTTCAGGGAGTCAAAAGTTGTACATGGATTTTTGACTGCACTGGGGGGTCAGCGCCCCTAACTCCTGTGTTGTTCAAGGGTCAACTATATATTAATTATCCATTTTACAGATGAGGAAACTGAGTTTAAGAATTTTTCTGGAGCTCACATGGGTAAGTAGTAGAGCCAGAATTCCAATCAAGATGTGCTGAGTCCTAGGCGTGATTCCAGGTATAGATTCAGTATCGCCCACTCCCCCTAATAATGCTCTTATTTGACACAAGACCGTCCGCTTCCCTCTCCCTTCACCTAGATGACAGCTTGCTGTGCTCTGCTGTGTTGCTCACCCTTTCAGGAGACATAGAATTGCCCTTGTACATGTTGGGGAAGCTGTCAGTATTTTCTTTCCTTTTCTTTCTTCAATATCGGTTCAACTTAACTTGTGGGTGTTTGTTAACTAGCCAATTAACTACCTCTGGGGCAGCTAACAGCTCTGCCAACTCTTACATAGGTCTTATAAATGACAAGCAAATTCAGAACTTCTCATCACAACACATGAAATTGTGCATTATGGTTCTCATTCCTGCCTTTGAAGACAGTGCAGAGGTGAGGGGCTGGGTGGTGTCACGGGCAGTGGACAAGGTTTGGGATCACACAGAGCTGGCTTTGTATTGCAGAGCAGCAACTGTAAAAATTAAATAAGGTGGTGTACCAAAAATGAGATCATTTTTGCAAAGCTCTCGGCACATCATAATAAGGGCCAACACTTTTTAGTGCTTCCAGTTGACCAGGCACAGAGCTAAAACCATATATTACTCCTCTTATTTACTCTTGTCTACCACCCTAGGAGGTAGGAGCTATTAATACTGACATTTGATAATGAGGCAACCCAGGATCACAGAGGAAATCAAGATGTCACTGTCACAGCTGAAGAGGAATCAAGATCTGAATCCAGGCTTCAGCCTGTGGCTTTCACCATTACATTATGAATGGTAACTTTAAGTATTATGTCTGTGATCGTCTTATAACAAGAATGCCATATGTTTAACCCCTACTCTAAGTAGACTCCAGGCCAGAGACACTTTATGATAAATGTGATGCAAAATACATACAGCATCCCTTTGGTTTTGAGTGTCTGCTCACCAGGCAAATAAGGGACTTAGAACCAAGAAGGGGGATTCTCGACAGTAGACCTGCCAACTCAAGGACATTCTTAGAAGAAAGACAAGCTCATACCTTCTTCTGTGATATTAAAAAAAATTCTGCATTTTTCTCTTTTAGATCTTAGAGTTTCATTCCCATATGCCTGTTTGTTTTTAAGCCCCAGCCCCTTCCAGTTCTCTGGATAATAAATCATAGTAAGTCACACACAGTGAGCACTTACTGTATAACAACAGTCATTCTAAGCACTTTGCATGTTTCATCCTGTTTACCTTTCAGAACAGACATATGAGACACCTGGTATTAAGATCCTTATTCTACAGATGAGGAAACCGAGGCTTAGTGAAGTTAGTGGTTTCTCCAAAGACACAGCTATAAGTGGCACATTCAAGTGGAAGTCTGGCTGATCCAAGCCAAGGTTCCAACTGCGGTTGTGAATTGACTGCTCTTCAACTCATTTTAAACTAGTAAGCAAAGCCCTTTGCCAGGTGGCTTTATGGTAATTTTGTGGTCCATCTGCTGCTATTGAGTGTGGCAATGAAATGGACCAGTGTTTTTTTTCCATCAATCATATTTTTTCCATGATAGATGTCAGGGGCTGCTGAGCAGGGCAGGGGCAGTGGTTGTGGGACCACCTCTTATCTGACAAACTCCATAAAATATTTTAACCCCGAATAGCCAAAGCAATCCTGAGAAGGAAGAATCAAGCAGAGGGAATCTTGCTTCCAAACTTAAAGCTACAAAGCCACAGTAATCAAGACAATTTGGTACTGGTACAAGAACAGACCCACAGACCAGTGGAACAGAATAGAGAGTCCAGATATTAACCCAAACATATATGGTCAATTAATATACGATAAAGGAGCCATGGACACACAATGGGGAAATGACAGCCTCTTCAACAGCTGGTATTGGCAAAACTGGACAGCTACACATAAGAGAATGAAACTGGATCATTGTTTAACACCATACACAAAAGTAAATTCAAAATGGATCAAAGACCTGAATGTAAGTCATGAAATCATACAACTCTTAGAAAAAAACATAGGCAAAAATCTCTTGGACATAAACATGAGCAACTTCTTCATGAACATATCTCCCCAGGCAAGGGAAACAAAGGGAAAAATGAACAAGTGGGACTATATCAAGCTGAAAAGCTTCTGTACAACAAGGGACACCATCAATAGAAAAGGCATCCTACAGTATGGGAGAATATATTCATAAATGACAGATCTGATAAAGGGTTGACATCCAAAATATATAAAGAGCTCACACACCTCAACAAACAAAAAAGCAAATAATCCAATTAAAAAATGGTCAAAGGAGCTGAAGAGACAGTTCTCCAAAGAAGAAATTCAGATGGCCAACAGACACATGAAAAGATGTGCCACATCGCTAGTCATCAGAGAAATGCAAATTAAAACCACAATGAGATATCACCTCATACCAGTAAGGATTGCCACCATCCAAAAGACAGCAACAAATGTTAGTGAGGATGTGGAGAAAGGGGAACCCTCCTACACTGCTGGTGGGAATGTAAATTAGTTCAACCATTGTGGAAAGCAGTATGGAGGTTCCTCAAAAAACTCAAAATAGAAATACCATTTGACCCAGGAATTCCACTCGTAGGAATTTACCCTAAGAATGCAGCAGTCCAGTTTGAAAAAGACATATGCACCCCTATGTTTATTGCAGCACTATTTACAATAGCCAAGAAATGGAAGCAACCTAAGTGTCCATCAGTAGATGAATGGATAAAGAAGATGTGGTACATATACACAATGGAATATTTATTCAGCCTTAAGAAGAAAACAAATCCTACCATTTGCAACAACATGGATGGAGCTAGAGGGTATTATGCTCAGTGAAATAAGCCAGGCAGAAAAAGACAAGTACCAAATCATTTCACTCATCTGTGGATTATAAGAACAAAGCGAAAAACTGAAGGAACAAAATGGCAGCAGACTCACAGAACCCAAGAATGGACTAACAGTTACCAAAGGGAAAGGGACTGGGAAGGATGGGTGGGAAGGGAGGGATAAGGGGGAAAAAGGGGGCATTATGATTAGCAGACATAATGGGGGGGTTGGGGAGGGCTGTACAATACAGAGAAGACAAGTAGTGATTCTACAGCATTTTACTATGCTGATGGACAGTGACTGCAATAGGGTATGTGGGGGGACTTGGTGATGGGGAGAGTCTAGTAAACATAATGTTCCTCATGTAATTGTAGATTAATGATATCAAAAATTAAAAAAAAAGACTTTATAGGAACAGAGGTTCAGCTGAAGATGAAATTTGAACATTGCTTAAACAGACCAGTCTGAACCATGTGGGAAAAAGGGACAGTACACGGCCTGCATCTGCCTGTGAAATGGGCCTCACCCAAGGTGACTTACGGAAGCTTGAAGCTAAGACGTAGGACCAGCAAACACCAGCAGCTCCTGGAGAAACAGCCACCAGTTTTTAATGGTCTAAAGCAGCCCACCACCTGGTTTTGTACATCCCATCAGCTGAAAATGGTTTTTGCATATTTAGATGGCTGGAGAAAAACCAAAAGAATACTGTTCCATGACATGTAAAAAAAGAAATGAAATTCAAGTTTCAGTGTCTGTAAATAAAATCGCATTGAAACACAACCATGCTCATTTGTTTATGGCTCCCGTGCTCTCATGGCAGAGCTGAGTAGGCATGGCAGAGATGGCAAAGCCAAAAATATTTACCATCTGGGTGAGGAAGGTTTTGCTGATCCCTGGTCTAAAGACTTCTGTGCTGTGAGGCAGCACAAATTATGTGAGGTCTTCCTGGGGCTGGAGGACATAATCCAGGTTGGTGCTTCTAAAGCAGAAAGTGTCAGGCCTCTAGGGCAAATCTCAGTTGTGGAATGTTTTTATACTTGCAGTATTTTCGTGCACATTTTGTTGCACTTAAAAAAATTAAATATGTTGCTGCAATTAAGGATATGTCACAGAAGAGCCTGATTTAGAGCTTCTTTCAAAAATGGGGAGCTCTTTCCCACATTTCCTTGTGAAAACAAACCCTTGCAGCTGGATATTGGTAGCTCCCTTTAGATGGGGTACAAGCTCTCCAGTTAGCCAAAGTCCACACCAGGCCATTTGTCACTTGAGGTACCTATATAGTGAATTACCTCTCCAAACTTCAGTATCTTCTACGGAATGAAGGTGATAATAATAACTTAGTGGAGCTGTCCTGAGAATTAGCTGAGACCGTAGTAGTAAGTATAGTACCGGTCATTTTTCTCAGCTCTTTACAC